TCCTTGGAGATTTTCCGCTCATACCCCCTGCATTTCTGAGTCCCCCTCCCAGAAGTCCTTCAGAATGCCCCCGAAGAACCCTGATCATCTTCCCTGAAGATCTCCTTCCCATATCCCCAAAATAAACCTTCCTCACAGACTTTCTGAAATGCCCCCAGATCCCAAAAACTCACCTGGAAGACCCCATCCCACTCCCCACTATATTGCAACCTTCTCTAATACACACTCCCCCTTCACGTATCCCTCTGGATCTTTCCACAGATCCCAAAAGTCTCCCCCAGAGGCCTCCTGTCTCCCCCTGGTCTCACCACCCTGAAATGCCCTAGAGATCACCCTCAGGTAGCCCAACGATCTTCCCCGGGACCCCCTTCCCCACCCCCACTCATTTTTAAAGTGTCCAGCGATTGCCTGAAATCTCCAGAGGACTCTCAATTTCATATTTCAAAAGCTTCTTCCAAAACCCCTTTTACATACTCCACATATTTTCCAGTCCCCCACATCACACGCTCCAAAAATGGTTTAAGGATCCTGAAAACTTTCCTCGTGGTTTATCTCTCAGATCCCTTAGAACTCCCCTTCACTTACACTTCAGAATCCCCCCTTGCAGACCGGTTTTAGAGGAATTTTCTAAAGATCCTCCTCACAACCCCTGTAAGACCGTAAGATTCTCTTGGTGACCCCTCTGAGATGCAGGTTTTCAGGACCCCCCCCCACACACACACACAGCTTAGAGACCCCAGCAAACCCCTGGAACCCTCCTGATGTTGTTCTTTAAATCCCTCCAAGACCTTCCTGACACCCCCAGAACCCCTTGAATCAATACTTCTGCCTTACTAAGGGGCTTTTCTGGAGATGTCACTCCCTGAACTTGCTCACGCAGGTCCGCTAAATCCTCTAGAATCCCCTGAAGAAGACCCTCACACACACCTAATTTCCCCCCAAAATAACCCTCTGAGCTCCTGCTCTGAGAAAGTCCTAGAATTCTTTCTGAAAAACCCACTCCTCTGACACTCAGAAGACCCCGCCTTCCCCATGTACTCTTTCGGAGACTTTACTCAGGTTTCTCCTCAGCTGAGATCTCTGAAGAGTTTTTCCTAAAAAGATCACTCTGTCATCCCACTCCAGGACCAGTCTCAGAAGACCACACCTTCCTCAGACACTCTTTAGATAATTTTCTCACAAATTGCCCTCCATCAACCACCCACTCCTAGCGCTTCCTGAGACTTCCTCAGAACTTCCCCTCAGATTCCACTTCTGACATCCCCAAGAAACGTTATTCAGTACCCTATCAAATTTACCCCCTCGCTTTAGAATTCCTATTTACACCATCTCATTTCCCCATTCTCTTTCCTCTGAAGTCAACTCAGAGACCTTTCTCAGGGGGCCCCCTTTTCCTAGTATCCCTTCAGAGGCCCCCAACATTCTCCAGACTCATCACTCAAGAGCCTCTATGTTTCCTTGTAAAGATTCTTGAGAGACACCTTTCCCCACCCCCTTGAAATCCCAATGCTCCAAGACCTTTCTTTCAGACCATTTTTCTCAGGTCCCATCCTCATAGACCCCTGTTCCCTTTCAAGATCAAGAGACACTTAACACCCTCCTTAGAGACAGGATTTTCCCCATTTCCCTTTGAGAAGCCTTCTTCCTTCTCCCCTTTGAGAGCCTCCTCACCAAAGAATCCCTTCCACTATAGCAGTGGTTCTCAAAGTGTGGTTCCTGGCCCAGCAGCAACCACATTTGTTAGAAATACACATTCTTGAGTCCTACTCAGATCTACTGAATCAGAAAACCTGGGAGCAGGGCCCAGCAATCAGAGTTTTTAACAAACAATCCTGGTCATTTTGATGCACACACAAGTTTAAGAACCTGTGCCCTTTAAGAGGATTTCCTTTTCCCCACAAAAACCCCCTGAAAGATGCCTCAGGGTGTGCCTCTGTGCCCTGCTGCTCACTGCTATTTTCCTGTTTCCCAGGAATCCCCTTTACAAAGTACCCATCCTCCAGAAAGATTTCTTACCTACCTTGAAAGGATCTTGGCTTCTCCACAAGGTTACTCCATCCTCTGAGCAGTTATTTCCCATTCTACTTTTGAATGGTTTCTTTTCAGATCTTCCTTGGTGCTTTCTCTTTCTGGCTATCCCTGCAGCCCACTCCCAGCCTTTGGTGCTTCTTTAAATTGCTGCTTCTTTGAACACACATGTCCATCTCTTCTTGTCCATCCGTTTCTCCACATAGGCATCCTCCCCTTAAGGCACCCTCAGGAGGTCTTTTCATTCTGTGTCTTACTGCCCAGACCCCTCCACCCCCATTGTACCTCTTAGAACACCGCTCACCTTCAACCTTGTAGTTTTTAATGTACTTGCCCACTCACCCTTACTGGACTAGGAACTCTGAAAGTACGCGATGTGTCTTGTTCTTTGAATCCCACAAGGTGGGATCTACCCTTTATAAGTTACTGGAAATCACTAGAGAATAAGCAACTCTTCCTTCTGCATTGGGCCAGAAATCTCCAAGTTTCTCAGATCTCACTCCGCATTCAGGTTTAGCACACTCTCCCTGCCCCCTCCTCTCCTCTCACCTCCCTTTTTATCTCCACACAGCACCCTTTGCCTTTCCCCTTGCCATACTTGCTCCTGTCTTTGGGACTTTCTTTGTGTTGTTTCCTGATTCTGAGCTACCCCAAGTCCTTTGCCTGGTGACCTGCCTCACCCCGTCCTGGTTGACTTCTCTTAACAGCCCCTATCAGCTGCTAAGTCTGGGGCCTCCACAGAGCTCTGAAGTTTTTTCAAGGGATTCTGTTTCTCTCTAGGGCCCAGAAGGGGAAACAGAGACCCCAGGGTAAATACTGGGGCCTGCCTTCAGGGAGCTCATAATACCAGTAGGGGGCTTGGGCATGTACAGAGCAGAAAATGAGGTACAAATTATATGCTGTAGAAATTCAGCAGTGAGGGGGAGCCCTTTACTTGGAAACTTCACAGAAAAGGTGGTATTTGGGCTGGATAGTGTTCCCTGGGAGTTGGGACAATCATGGTGCGTTAGAGGCAGAAGAAACAGCTTAAGCAATGGATCAAAGACAAGAAAGCCTCCTGATCTGTCACGCATGGTATCTCTTGTCTTCACCCAAAAGATAGAGATGAAAGAAGACAGATTTTCTCTATTTGCATTGTATTTGCCAACTGCACTTTAGTGACCTACAGAGTAGTAATAATAATGACCACTGGTTTTTGAATGCTTGCTAACTGCCAGGCACTGTTTAAGCACTTTACAGGTATTCATAGGAACCCTATGAGGTTGGTAAACTACCATTATCCTCATTTTGCATATGATGAGATTAAGGACAGGTGGGACTAATAGAAGGTCTGTGGGCACTGTCCATCCCAAGATGGTAGTGCCTTGGGTCAAAAAGTTGAATTTTTAGTTAAGATAGGTTTGGCTGCAATGGGGTTGTAGTTGTTAGGTATGCAGACCCTGGGTCTGGACAGGATTTGCGTCCCAAGTTACAACTCACCAGTTTTGTGCCCTAGGACACGTTACTCCTCTGGTCTTTTAGTTTCCACAGCTTAAAAAAAAAAAAAAAAAAAAAATGAAGGAAATAATGATACTCTACTTCATAGAATTGTTATGAGGATTAAATAAGTTAATACATGTAAAGTACTTAGAACAATGCCTTGCCCGTAATTGCAATGTTAGAAGAAAAAAAAAAAAAGAAAAAAAAAACTCGTAGCCAGAACTCTAAAAACATGAAGTGATAGAACCTTAACTCAAAGTAGTTTAAGGAAAAAAGCGGGGGATTAATTGGCTCTTGTTACTGGAAAGTCCAGAGCTAGGTTGGCTTCAGGCCTACTGCATCCAGGTGTTCAAATAATTTTCTCAGACATCTCCTCCCATTTCTCCACTGAGTTAGCTTCATCTTCAACAAGCTTCTGCTTTGGGTAACAAAGATGGTCCTCAGCAGCCCCAGGTTTTAACCCTACCTCCTTGGAAAGCCTTAGTGGAAAGAGAACTCTTTCTTGAGAGTCCCAGTTTGAAAATAGTTTCTTCCTTGAATAGATGTGAGATTATGCCAGAAGATCCTTAGAAACATATTTTGGGTTCTGTACCCTGCAACTCAGTCTCTGGCTTGCTGAGTCAAATAGGCCTGTGATTCCATCCCATGAACTTTCTGAGCATTGATGGTAGTCTGCCTCCCCACTGTCCCCCAGCCCCGGTCATCATCTGCTCTGTGATGGTTTGGGTCTAGAGAGAGCTTATGGCTGGTCCGACTCAACCACACTTTGCTTTGGGATATCACGGGTGATATGAGGTGATCAGCCTGGCTTGATGGTGGCCTCGGGGAAGCAGAATCCAGGAGTACTGGCAATACCCTCACCACCGTTTTAGGTTTCCAAGACACAGAACTTTGGAAGAGAGTTAAGTAGGGTTGCTGTGAGTGGAGTTTTGTTTGTTTTAGTGTAAACTTGTTGAATAGAAGCAGGTTCAGGGCAAGTTACAGAACAGCAGTGTATGGAGTATGCAAGTCTCAAATATCTCCAGCCTGCACTCATTCATTAAACAATGCTTGGAGGCACTGTTCTAGGTACTGGAGACAGAGCAGTGAATAAAACATTCAAAGTCCTGAAATTCATGGAATTTATATTCTGATAGGGGGAGTGAAACACAAAGAAATCAGAGAGTGATTCATGCTATGAAGGAAATAAAACAGTGTGAAAGAGAGGGTGGGAGTGGCCACTGTAGACAGGGGGATCAGAAGAGGCCTCTTTTGGGAGGTGACAGTTGAGCCTGATAACCAGAAAGATGAGAAGGCACCAGTTGTAGGAAGATCTGGGAGTGGAACATTCTAATCTAAGCATTGCTACATGCAGAAAAAGGACCTCTGCAAGGTGGGAAAATTTATTACAGATATTTATTGAGGGCCTGCTATGTACCACGTGCTATGGTAGAATTGGAGATGTAGCAATGAATGATATAGCTATAATCTTCCCTTCTCTCATGGGTCTTATAGTCTAGGTGTTTTTGGAAGAGCTGCAGCCTTTGAAGAAACATCTCTTAATGATGATATCATAGACTCGTTCCTACTGGGGAGATGAGGCAGAATGGGGCACAGGTGAGCCCAGATCTGATTGATGAGAGGAAACTAACCTTGTGACAGTCTGGGGAATAGCATTTCAGGCAGAGGGGTCAGCAGGTGCAAAAGCCCTGCGATGTGTTCAGGGAATAACAAGGACCAGTATGGCTAAAGCCTAAGTGAGGGAGAGGGGCGAGGGGTTGGAAAGGCTGACAGAAGCCAGATCACTTGGGGCCTAAGGGCCACAGTGAGGAGTTTCTATTTTCATTTAAGGTGATTGGGAAACTATTAGAAGGAAGTTTTTGAAAGCAAGACAGTGACATGATCTGATTAATTTTTTTTAGAAAGCTCACTTTGGTTTCTGGGAGGAAAACAGAGGGTCAGGACAGAATCAGGAAGGAAAGTTGGGAGACAATCCATTTGTCCAGATGAGAAATGGTGACATAAATGTGGTGGTGGTAGTGAAGATGGAGAGAAGCAGATATATTTTGGGTGTACAGAAAACAGGACTTGATGATAGGATTAGAGAAAGAGAGGAATCTAGGATAGTAATAATAGCCAAGTCATTTATGCCTCACAACTCTATGAGAGTAGGCACTATTATTATTTTCTGTCTTCCTCCTCAATAGGTACTATTATTACACCCACATTACAGATGACAAAACAGGCACAGCAAGGTGAAATCACTTGCCCAAAATTACACAGGTAGTAAGTGGCAGGCTTATATTTCCAACCCGGCAGTCTGGTTCTAGAGCCACATAGGTTTGGGGAAAGGTAAGGAAGGCATGTGTAGCTGACATTAAGAAAAAGGAAATATCAAGACCTAATGACTGGGTCTTTGGGAAATGGAAGAAGTCAAAGATGACTCAAAAAATGTCTCAGTTGTCCACAGAGAGGTGATAATTGAATCTACAGGAGTTGATTACATTCCTAAGTGAGAGAAAACAAGCATTAAGAAGGGAAAGGAAGCACAGGATAAACTTTTCAGGGGAAGGGGTGTCAAGACATTTAGGAGTGGGAGGAAGAACACTAGCTTCCTCTCTATTGCAGAGTTTCCCAGAGCTCCCCATACTGTGCTTATCTTCGAGGAGGCCCTGGCTGGCTTCTCTCCTCTCCCTCCCTTCCCCAGCACCATTCATACAAAAAGCTCATTCTCTGCTAATGCAGTGGTATACATGTTTTGTGTACATATTTCAGGAGTTTCTGAAAGTAATGGTTGGTTCTTAGAAGTTGGGCTCCCTTGGCTTCTGATAGTCTCTTCTCAGGTTATGAAAGTGAGTTAACCCTAGGTAACTAGCCTGTTACCTTGTTCATGAAGTGTCAGTTCCTCAAAGGCCTAGGTCGTGCTGTAAAAAGAAGTAGGAATGGGTAAAAAGGCAGATAGGATCCCCTTATTTATCCAGAGATGTTGATATTAAAGGGCCCTTAGGCCCAACTTTTACCATGTTGCCCAGGCTGGTCTCACTGGGCCCAAGCGTTCTGCCCACCTCAGCCTCCCAAAGTGCTGGGATTACAGGTGTGAGCCACCATGCCCAGCTTCGTTGCATTGTTAAGAGCAAGCAAGAACTCTGAAGCCAGACTACCTGGCCTTGAAAATCTCAGCTTAGTGTGCAGTCTTGGGCAAAGTGACTGCTCTGTGCCTCAGTTTCTCCATCTGTAAAATGACAATATATTCGTATATGTATGTAATATATTTTTAAAATACAGTTTTGGGAGTCAAATGTGCTTATCTGTGGAAAGCTGTTAGCAAAGGGCCTGACAATGTATGATGTATGAAGACATGCTAAACATCGTGATTGCTATTGAAATGAAGTATAGCGGAGGGAAAAAGCATCATGCTAGTTATTTTTAAATACATTGTTTCATTTAATTCTTCTAACAAGCTGCATTGAGGAAGAAACAGAGTTACTTGCCATAGTCAATACAGCAAGTAAGTATAACAGAGAACCAGGATTTAAGCCAGGTCTGACTCCACATTCTGCTTCTGAATGAAGAGAGCTGGCCTCCAGAGGCGCTGTTTATGGGCATATGGGCCTTTTCTCACTGGGGCAGAGAAGAAGCCCAGAGGGCAGTTTGCCCTGGAACATCTTAACTTTTTTTTTTTTTTTTTTTTTTGAGACAAAGTCTCACTCTTGTCACCCAGTCTGGAGTGCAGTGGCACGATCTCAGCCCACTGCAACCTCCACCTCCTGGGTTGAAGCAATTCTCCTGCCTAAGCCTCCTGAGGAGCTGGGATTACAGGCGCCTGCCACCATGCCCAGCTAATTTTTTGTGTTTTTAGTAGAGACAGGGTTTCACCGTGTTGGCCAGACTGGTCTCGAACTCCTGACCTCAGGAGATCCGCCCGCCTCGGCCTCCCAAAGTGCTGGGATTACAGGTGTGAGCCACCTCACCTGGCCTTTCTCCAGGTGGGAGTGCAGTGGCACAATCTCAGCTCACTGTAGCCTTGACCTCCAGAACTCAAGTGATCCTCCCACCTCAGCCTCCTGAGTAGCTGGGGCTGCAGGTGCACGCCACCATGCCTAGCTAATTTTTGTAGAGACAGGGTTTTGCCATGTTGCCCGGGCTGGTCTGGAGCTTTTAGCTTTTTTTGTTTGTTTGTTTGTTTGTTTGTTTGTTTTGAGACAGGGTCTCACTCTGTTGCCCAGGCTGGACTGGAGTGCAGTGGCACGATCTTGGCTCACTGCAACCTCTGCCTCCTGGGCTCAAGTGATTCTCCTGCCTCAGGCTCCCAAGTGGCTGGGATTACAAGTGTACTCCACCACACCCGGCTAATTTTTTTGTAATTTTTGTAGAGACAAGGTTTCACTATGTTGCCCAGGCTGGTCTCGAACTCCTGAGCTCAAGCAATCCACCTGCCCAGGCCTCCCAAAGTGCTGGGATTATAGGCGTGAGCCACTGCGCCCAGCCTTCTTAGCCATTTTGTTAACTTCGTTTGCCACCTCTGGAGGGTGGTAGGGGCTTCCCAAGAAGATCACTTGGACCTCTTCAAGTATGGCTGCAATATTGCTGGGCTGTTGGAGAGACTTTTGTTATAGAGGTCCCCCTCTTGTGTCTTTCCTCAAAGGCAAGGAGTCATTTTTGGTAACATGAGGACAAAGAGACCAGACCAGTGGTGAATTCTGTTTTGCATGGGAATTGTCAAGGCTCTTCCAGTTTTAACTGAAACCCAACTCAAACTGGCCTAAGTCAAAAAGGAATTTATTCATCTATGTAACTGAAAAGAGTGGGCACAAGGGGGAGGCTTCAGGCTAGCTGCATCTAGGTTTTAAATCATGTGAACAGACCTCCCTTTCCCCCTCCCCCATCTCTTGACTCTACTGTTACCTGTGTTAGTTTCATTCTGAAGCAGGCTTCCACCATGAAATAGAAGAGGTGGCAACTGATGACATCATGAGACGATGTATAATCTGAGCAACCCTAACCAGTGACTTATTTTCCTTAGTAGTTCCAGCAAAAATCCAGAGAGGACTCTCCTTGGCCAGGCTTTACCCCATATCCACTTCTGGAGCCAAGAAAGACAGTTCCTTCTCCAAGGGGAACCCAGGGTGTTGATACTAGAAGATGGAAGTGGATACAGTAAGATGCTGCCACAGTGAGATGCCTCACACAGATCTCCCTCTGTCACTCCAGCCAAGCACATGGGATAGAAAGTAGCAGGCGGCCTCTGGCCCTTCAGTGGAAGAGGGCCATTCAGTCCTCTCCAGTTAACATCTAGACCAAACACAAAACATCCTTCTCTCATCCAGAAGACATAGGAACCCTTCCTTCAGGGATGATTTTTTTTAACAGTGAAATCTTAGAAGTAACTGTTTCACTAAAGCCTCCAGTGTTTACTGAAGACTGTCAGAATCATCCTCCATCACTAGATCTTCTCCACCAGTCATATTCCCTGAGCAGTGGGGTGGCTTGAAGGTATAAACCAGAGAGGCCCAAGGGAGGGGTAGTTAGCAGACTTCTGGTCTTTTTCTAGTTTGTGCTCATCTGTTCCAAGGACCACAGGTATGTTTTCTTCTGTGTAGTCATTCACTGTTGTTCTAATGTGATTCGTTTCCCACATTTGAAAATAGGGGGATTTTACTTTAAAATCCAGACATCTAGCTCCTCTTTAGTGGGGAAAAAAAAAACAACTAAGACGTAACAATACTGGACCCACATTCCTTCATGGTAACAGTTGATAAGAGGTGGATAGTGACTTCTCCCTTTAGACCGGGTGTGGACTTTCCAACTCACCATAGTCCCAGTTGGCCTGCTTTGTTCAAAGCCTGGCCTTCTAAGCGTCATGTTTGAGACCCCATTATGTCCCAAAGCTTTGCTTCTATCATTTGGCCTAGGGGGAAAAGCTGGATTAATGTTTAGTCAGCAGCTTATTGGGTGGATGGAAGTGGGGGAACAGTGCTATTGCTTAGGAAAAGTAACAACCCAGTAAAAGAATTTATGGGAAAGAGTGTGCACAACTTTGGTCTGTTTGTGGATTTGGTCGTTTTTTTGCTGTAAATGCTGTTGGCATATCAAACCTCCCGTCACAAATGTTCCCTCTGAAATAGTAACATGTCCTTCTATCTTATGAGTTGCCACCCAGTGAAGGAATCCCTCCCACTCCCAAGGGATGTTCATCCAGCCTCCGCTTGACCACTTCCAGCAGCCAGGGAGCTTATTACCTCCTCACATGGCAGCCAGTTCCATTCTTGGACAGATGCGTTATTTTAAAATTCTTCCTTATGTTGAGGCAGCTGCTGCCTCCTTGGGACTGAAAGCCACAAAATGCTGGAGCTGGGAAGGAAAACCGATTTTTTTTAGGCGCGTGAGCTACCACTCATCCACCCTGCATCCAGGGCAAACATTGATAATTAATCACAGCACTCTTTCTCACTGAGTCAGGAAGTATGCTGCCTTAAAATTGTTTTTCATTAAATTCTTTTTTAAAAATTACAAAAGCAATATGTATTCACTTGCAGCTAGTGAAATAGTACAAAGTTATATAAAGATAGTGTTAATAATCCCCCTGTTTCTCCAAGATAGTGTTGGCAGCTGAGGGTGTATTCTTCTATACATTTATACACATACAGACATAGATATTCATATATAAGATATATAAGGGGTTTTGTATGTGGCTTCTTTTAATTTAAAAAATGGCATTATATTGTACATATTACTGTGTAGCTTGTGGACACCCCTCCAAGTAATTACAGATCAAACATTGTATATAGGTTTGTTTTTTGTTTCCTTTTCTTCTTTTTGAGATGGAGTCTCGCTCTGTCACCCAGGCTGGAGTGCAATGGCATAATCTCGACTCACTGCACCCTCCACCTCCCGGGTTCAAGTGTTTCTCCTGCCTCAGCTTCCCAAGTAGCTGGGACTACAGGCGCCCGCCACCACACCGGGCTAATTTTTGTATTTTTAGCGGAGATGGAGTTTCGCCACCTTGGCCAGGCTGGTCTCGAACTCCTGACCTCAAGTGATCTGCCTGCCTCAGCGTCCCAAAGTGCTAGAATTAGAGGAGTGAGCCACTGCGCCTGGCCAGATTAGGCGTGTTTTTAATAGATATGTTATATCATACAATGTGGGATCTGCCCCAATTTATTAATCATTCCCCGTTAATGGATATTCCCATTCATTTCTTCAGGATTCTTCTCATCGCAGTGCTCCAGGCAGCCAACTACCAATCGATTGGAGTTAGCCTGTGAGGTAAAACCTATTTGTCATGTCTCACCCAGTCCAGCTCCTTGTCATACATTATAGAGAAGAGAACAGACTAGCTCCGTGATCAAAGTGAATCGGTGGCTTGGGGCAGGACTAGAACTGAATTTTCTTGACTTTCAACATTTCCCATATCCCATGTTGTCACTCCCTTAGAATCATCTACCCTGCTTTTCTCCTCTAGAGTAAAAGAACAAATATAATTTATCTTCTGTGTGCTACCTCTTCAGATATCCAAAGTCAGTTATGCCATTCCCCTTAAGTCTTCTCTTCCCTAGAGGAAATCTCCTCAGTGCCTTCAATTTTTTTTTTCTTAAAACAAGGTTTTCAAATTCCTTTGCCATCCTCTGAGCTGTTCCTTCTATCTTGTTTCCCCCCAGGGCTGTAGAAATCCCAAGTGTGGCTTCCACATTCACTTTCTATAGCTATTTATTTATTCAATAAATATATATTGGGCACCTTCTGCATGCCAGGCACTGTTGTAGGCACTGGCTGACTGTATGGCTTGCATTTTGGTCAGTAGAGAGAAACATAAATAAGGTGATACCTGAGAGTGCCAAATTATATAGGAATGAAATAGTGTTAATATAATTGGAGGAGAAACTCCTGAGATTGGATGGTCAGGGAAGCTGTCTTTGAAGAAATGGCAGTGAGCTGAGACCTGAATAACAAGTAGGAGTCAGCCTCTAGGGGAAGACAATTCCACTGAATAAGAAATAATTTGGTACAAGATGAGGTTGGAGTGGCCACAGGAGTCCTATAGGGCTGTGTAGGCCAAGATAAGAAGTTTGGAATTTGTTTAGTTTTTTTTTTTTTTCTTTTTTCTGAGACAGAGTTTTGCCCTGTCACCCAGGTTGGAGTGCAATAGCGTGATCTTGGCTGACTGCAACATCCACCTCCCAGCTTCAAGTGATTCTCGTGCCTCAGCACCCCAAATCACTGGGATTACAGGTGTGCACTAGCACGCCTGGCTAATTTTTGTATTTTTAGTAGAGATGGGGTTTCGCCACTTCGGCCAATCTGGTCTTGAACTCCTGACCTCAAGTGATCCACCCGCCTTAGCCTCCCAAAGTGCTGGGATTACAGGCAAGAGCCACCACTCCTGACCTTGTTTAGATTTAATTTAAGTGCAATGGGAAGTCATTGGAGAATTTTAGGCCAGGGAGGTGACATCTGATTTCCCTTTTAAAAAAAAAAATTGCTGGATGCTTGTTTAACTTGGAGCAAGGTTTCATTTTCCCTCATACCTTTCTTGCTTCTTACATCCAAAGGGATTGGCAACCAGGCCAGTTCCATCTGTTTAGGGGCCCCACAGGGGATCTGTGAGGCAAGTCACAGCTGTTGCCTAATGCACCCCACAGCCCTCCTCAGCAAGCACAGGGAAGTTCAGAGAGATTTGAGTAGCTCCCTTAGACCTGAGCCCAGTAGGTTCAATGGGTCTTTGTATGAAGTTCTCAGTCCAGGGAACCTTAGTCCTTTGGCAGCCAGAGGGGAATGGAGCTGAATGTGGTTTGAGGATAGCGTCAAGGGCACTGGTTGCAAGAGAGACAGATGGAAGAAATGTTGAGTGGAGATATGGAGCTCAAGACACTTAGAAAAAGGCTTCGGAGTAGTGTCCAGAAACCAGCCAACTGAAAAATAGAGCTGTTGTTTGCCTAGTTGGAATAACTTTTCTGTAGTTCCTGCCTAAGGGGGATTTGGACACTTTGCAGCTTGTGAGTTTTTGACTTTTGATCTGTCCACTTCCCCTCAGGTTGGCATTTTCTTGGCTTCCAAGAGGAGCCTGAGACAAGCTGGCATCTCTGGAAGTCAGGGGGACTTCCCAACCAGAGAGTTTAGGTTTGGAGCAGCCTTCAGGTGAATTAAGAGGACAGGGAGCGATTCACCTCAGAATAGAGATGAGTAAAATCTGATAAATCAGGGCTATATCTTTTCCAGAGTCAGGGAGCTGTGTTAGAGGGGGCGAGATTCCCTCAGCCTGTTGGTGATCTTTGAAAAGCCCTTTGTCCATGCCCACACCTGATAGATACCCAGCCAGTTACTGATCAGATGACTGGCTGCATACCTGAGATCTCCACCAGGGTCACTACCCCACCATCCATCCTCTGCCAGCATTGCGGGACTAGCTTGAAGTAATTTAGAGAGCCCTTGGAGTTCTATCAGTAGGTTAGCAGATACACTGTCTAGCTCTCAGAAAAGGTAGCCAGAAACCAGCAAGGTCAGAGATGTGCTGTGCTTAGTCATGTCACCTTGGGCCAGATCGCCATCAATTCATATCTTTTCTCATAATTTGCAGCCTTCTATTTCCCACTTCTGAAAAATCTTTCCAGTGTATTTTCTGTATTAAATCCGCTTCCTTTGACACTATAACAGCCAGGTGTGGGGGCCAACATCTTCTTGGTCTCTGGGATAAGCATCTGAGTCCCAGTCACGCCTTTTCTCTGGATCTGGAGGTTTGGGTGAAAGTTGCTTTAATATCTGGTGTTGGCTTCATCTTTCTTCCAGGAGCTCAGCAGAGCAAGTACCCTGAAAGAGAAAGGCATGAGGCCTTCATGCCCCCTCAACCCACACTCACCAGGCAAGTTTCAGCCCCTTCTTTCTGTTTGACCCCTTTGCTTCCTTTTTCAGGAGACTGGAGAGGCGTGGCTGGACCAAGACCTCCCCCCATGTGAGCAGGCTTCCTCCTCCCCTCACAATCGTTGCCACCACGCCCAGAAACGTCCTTAAGCCCTGGCCCTCAGGGGAAAGGTAACAGGAGGCCAGAGCCGGGACCATGTGACGGCGCTGGCCCTCGCCACCGCCGTCCCCCCACCCTGGCCCCAGGCCCGGCACCATGATGTTCCGAGACCAGGTGGGCATCCTCGCTGGCTGGTTCAAGGGCTGGAATGAGTGTGAGCAGACAGTGGCCCTGCTGTCACTTCTGAAACGGGTCACCCGTACCCAGGCCCGCTTCCTGCAGCTCTGCCTGGAGCACTCACTGGCGGACTGCAATGACATCCACCTGCTGGAGTCGGAGGCCAACAGTGCTGGTGAGTCTCCACCCTTAGAGATGGGAGCACAGCAGGAGGGAGACCTGGAATAGATGTCGCATGGGTAGGGAGGTCAACTCAACAATGGGGCTAAAATGGGTTGTAGGCTTGGTGGGTGGGGAGTTCCTTACTTCCTAAGTTATCATCATGGGTTTTCTGGGACTGTGTTGCCATAAATCGTCAGGCATGGCATGGTGGACTTATGGGAGAAGGCAGTGCAAACTGGAAACTCCCCATAACAGGAAGATCATGTAGAGTAGCTTATGTGGGCTGCTGAAAGGAACAGACTAAATTAGTCATTATGAAAGGGGTATAGAAGGTGAGCAGTAATTAATTTCTTAAGCTTCAGGATATCAGGGCTAGGAGGTAATTTGAGAACTCTTCCAAAATTCATGTCATCCTATACTATTCTTTACCCTCAAAGTTAGGTTGGACTTAAAGCATAAGCAGCTTCCAGTTCCAGAGAGTTTTGAATTTAGATAGAGTTCATCCTGTCAGTTCCCTAAGTACTTATTAGAGAGGCAGTCTGTGTCCTGTGAGATTGGCATTGGGATGGGTGAGCCAGGCTTCTCTAAGACCTGTCTCTTAGGCCCCAGTTGTAGACAGGAGTCAGGCTAGAATCAGGGGCTACTGCTGAAGCTGTTCTGGCTGTGTGGGCCTCCACAGAGCTGGATGGAGAACTGTTGGCCCCAGTGCCAAGGGGCTCCATGCGGTTTGTCCAAATTAGTCACCCTAACTCTTTGCACCTTCTTCAGAATAATAGTTCATATTGAGCCCTTACAACAAGCCAAGTACTGTCTTTACTTGTATATTAACTTTAAAAGCAGTGTTCTTGGCCAGGTGCTGTGGCTTTTGCCTGTAATCCCAGTACTTTAGGAGGCCAAGGCTGGCAAATCACCTGAGGTCAGGAGTTCGAGACCAGCCTGGCTAATGTGGCAAAACCCCATCTCTATTAAAAGTACAAAAATTAGCTGGGCGTGGTAGCAGGCGCCTGTAATCCCAGCTACTCAGGAGGCTGAGGTGAGAGAATCGCTTGAACCCGGGAGGTGGAGGTTTCAGTGAGCCAAGATCGTGCCATTGCACTCCAGCCTGGGCTATGAGAGCAAAACTTTGTCTCAGGAAAAAAAAAAAAAAAAAAAAAAAAAGCAGTGTTCTTGTGTGGCTCTCAAGTCAGACTAAGTTTAAATCCCAGTTCTGTTACTTGCCATATAACCAAGTAATTTAACCTCTCTGTGCCTCAGTTTCCTGCGCGCCACCACACTTGGCTAATTTTTGTATTTTTAGTAGAGACAGGGTTTCACCATGTTGGTAAGGCTGGTCTCGAACTCCTGACCTCGTGATCTGCCCAGGTCAGGCTCCCAAAGTGCTGGGATTACAGGCGTGAGCCATCGCACCCAGCCAGTTTCCTCATCTTAAATTCAAGATGATATCCTGAGAAGTATGTAACCTCAGTAAAAAGAAAAGGAAAGAAAAAAATCAAGATGATAATTATATCTGCTTTCTAGGGTAGTTGTGAGGATTCAATGAATTAACACATGTGGCTGGGCGCGGTGGCTCACGCCTGTAATCCCAACACTTTGGGAGGCCGAGGCGGGTGGATCACGAGGTCAGGAGATCAAGACCATCCTGGCTGACACAGTGAAAACCCGTTTCTACTAAAAATTACAAAAAATTAGCTGGGCGTTGGGGCGGGCGCTATAGTCCCAGCTACTCTGGAGGCTGAGGCAGGAGAATGGCGTGAATCCGGGAGGTGGAGCTTGCAGTGAGCCGAGATCGTGCCTGGGTGACAGAGCCAGACTCTGTCTCAAAAAAAAAAAAAAAAAACGAGTAGCTTCCTACATGCCTGACATGTAGTAAACACTTAATAACTGCTAGTTGTTATTTTTAATGTCAATGACTCATTTGGTCCTCACAACAACCCCATGAGGTAGGTCCTGTCATTAGCCCCATTTTACAGGTGAGGAAACAAGCATGGGCTGCTAGGATTGGGATTTGGGGAGCCACACAGCTGCCTGGCCTCCCTCGTCTCCCCAGGCCCACCTGCCTTAGCATCAGTCACCTTTATTTTACTGAGTTTTTATGTGGAAGTCACAGAAGCAGCATGATCATAGCAGGAGACGGTTACTCAGGCCGGGTGTCACATCAGCTTAGTTCCTAGTCTGGCAGTAAGTTCTTAGTCCTAGACAAAGAGCAATAAGAACCCAGCTCAGCTGCAGCAGGCTCAGAGCTCAGCCATTTCTTACCCCTGCCACACTCTCCACTACTCTAATACTAAAGGCAGGAGTTATGTTTGTGGTATAACTCTGCCTTCAGAGTAGGGGCTCCTGTGGGGCAGGCCAGTGTTTTACATAGCTTCGTCACACATCCCCACTGCCTCTTCCTGAGCAGGCAGTTGGATTCCCACTGGGTGCCACTCTTGGCTGTATATCAGAATCACCAGTAGTACTTGGTAATTTGAGTATTTTTAGTTTTTGCTTTTGTTTTCAGAACTTGTAGTAAAATCAGATAGTACAAAATGTGAAAGTGAGGTTTTTCTTCCAGACTTCACGTTCTCGTTTCCTTATGTTTTATGAGATAAATTCCCTGCATATATGAATGTATACATATTCTCCTTCCAACTTTGTCATTGTTTTGTCTTAATACGTGTGGCCAAACATGCATATTAGCTGGTTTGGTTTTTTTCACTTACCAATTGATTTGAAGATCATTCCATATTCAGCACATACGTCTATATCTTCTTGTTAAGTATTTATTTACACCTCACAGCAACTCTGTAGGGTGGGCCCTGTTACTCCCCCATTTTACAGAAGAGACTGAGGTCTGGAGATATTCAGTGACTTGCCGTGGGTCACACAATTGGTAAGACGTAGAATTCAAATTTGACTTCAGAATTCTTTAGAGGTCTTGACCAATAGACTCCTCCACATGGTACATGTGGTCTTCCTCTTACAAATAGTGATGTAATAAGTACCCTTGAAACATCTCTAGGATGAACTCTTCAGATTCCGCAGAACTGCTAGTTTAGAGGTATATGCAATTAAAATATTTTTTCTCACTACATTGTGCTTGAAAGACATGCTGCATTTTATACAAATAACCTGAGGACCATTCCCAGACAGTTTGCAATGGGATATTGGTGGTAATGCCTAGCCAGGGTTGAGAAGTGCTGTGAAATGAATTGAATGATGAATGAATATATGAATCAAGGTTTTTATCCATAGCCCCATGTCAGATGGTGAGAATATAACTAGCTGGTACTTAAATAGGTGGAGAGGAAAGGAGAACTTAGAATGAGGGAGAGCCGTGGTGTGTTCCAGAGTCAGCAGGAAGCCTGCCGGGACTGGGGCAAAGCATGAGTTGAAAGAGAAGTGATCACAGAGGTAAATTCCGGTAGAGTCTTGAATGCCTGTTTTCTAGTAGACCTACGGGCTCTAAGACTAAGAAGGCAGGTGCCTCCTGTCTCACTCCTACCCTCAAGTAGAACCCCACCTGCCTTATTTGTAAGGAAGGTGCTACTTTCTGGGCCTGGAGACCTGCCTCAAAGAAGGAGCTGTTCATACTCTTGTTTCTCCTCTGGTTATTATGGCCTTCCCATTCCCTGGTGTTTCTCAGACTTGCATCATCATCAGAATCACTGGGGACAGGTGACTGTTAAAATCCAGATTTCTGCCCCCCATAGACCTACTAAATCAGAATCCTGAGGGGATGGGCCTGGGAATGAGTACCCAGGTTCTTCTGCTCACCAGGTAGTGTGAGAGGTGATGCCCTGCTGGATGATTCATTTGTTGTGAGACATGAGACACCCAAGAGTTGTAGATCCAGCTCTCCACTAACACCTCTTGTGACCTGGGTCAATCCTGCCTGACCCTCTTGGGCCTCAGGATCCCTATTTGGACAGTGAGGGGGTTGTTCTGGTACTTTCCAGGTACTTCTTGGGCTCTGAAATAATGTGTCAAAGAAGACAGAGCCTTGGGAGAGACCCAGCACATTCTTCTAGGGCAAGAGTTCTTAATATTTAGCGGATAGACCACTCAGAAAATCTTCGCCTCCTCCCCACTGTCCCCAAAAAGATGCATACCTATTCCACAAACCAAATCTTGAGTTCAGTTGGTTCACTAGTCCCCAGTTAAGAGTTGCCTGTCTCCCTGGCCGGGTGTGGTGGCTCACGCCTGTAATCCCAACACTTTGGGAGGCCAAGGTAGGCGGATCACGAGGTCAGGAGATCGAGACCATTCCGGCTAACACAGTGAAACCCCATCTCTACTAAAAATACAAAAAAATTAGCCGGGCGTGGTGGCGGGCACCTGTAGTTCTAGCTACCTGGGAGGCTGAGGCAGGAGAATGGTGTGAACCCGGGAGGTGGAGCTTGCAGTGAGCCGAGATCGTGCCACTGCACTCTAGCCTGGGTGACAGAGCCAAACTCTGTCTCAAAAAAAAAAAAAATAAAGAAAAGAAAAGAAAAAGAGTTGCCTGTCTCCAAGCCCTTCTCTTTTTTTTTTTTTTTTTTTTTTTTGAGACGGAGTCTCACTCTGTCGCTGGAGTGCAGTGGCCGGATCTCAGCTCACTGCAAGCTCCGCCTCCCGGGTTTACGCCATTCTCCTGCCTCAGCCTCCCGAGTAGCTGGGACTACAGGCGCCCGCCACCTCGCCCAGCTAAGTTTTTGGAATTTTTTAGTAGAGACGGGGTTTCACCGTGTTAGCCAGGATGGCCTCGATCTCCTGACCTCATGATCCGCCCGTGTCGGCCTCCCAAAGTGCCGGGATTACAGGCTTGAGCCACCGCGCCCAGCCTCCAAGCCCTTTTTTAGCTTGGTCCCTTCAAACCCGGAGAGCTGACCAGTGAGGCAGATCCCTTGCTTTTTTCTGGGTTGTATCTCCATGTCCCACAAAACCAACCTTACTACTTCCTCCAGTTCTCCAGGAAAATCTTGGGTCTGGGTCAGAGCTGCCCAGTTGCCTGCTCCCTGCTCAGATAGGTCAGGTAGCACAGAGTTCACCTAG